GGGTGAGTGGATGGATGGATGGGGAAGTAAGTGGATGGATGGGTAGGTGAGTGGATGGACGGATAGATGCATGAATGGAAATGGATGGAAACATATTTGAATGGGTGGGTGAGTGGATGGATGGATGGAGGGATGGATGGATGGATGGATGGGTGGATGGATGGATGGATGGATAAACTTCGACAGGCCCCTCAGGAAAGCTCAGGGATGAGATGTGCAGGGCCTCCTGGGTCAGGGAACACCTACCTGCGTTGTCAGGTCAAGAGCCATTGCAGTTTTTATTCTTCCATCTTGTAGGAAGAACCGAGAATGGCCTGGGTGAGGGCCTGCTATGCCCAGTGTGCTTCCTCTCGGAGGGTTGTTACAGCCCACAACGGAGGTGCTGTTTGGACCTCCCCTTTACAGATGAGGAAATGGGCCCCTAACCACCACACTATCTCCATCATGGGCCCCCTCCTAGAGCAGGGGAGCTCCGTGACCTGACCTGTTTCAGGAAAGACAGAGACCCTGTGGCCTTGCCTGCCCGTTCAGTTCCCTTTCTCCTCCTCCGGGGTGAGCAGACCCTTGGCTGCCTGAAGGCTTCTCCAGACAGCGCCTGAGCTCTGCCAAGATTAGGCCTGCCAAAGGGGTGTGTGCTCAGGGTCCCCAATCTGTGGCCATCAATACCGAGCTCCACCACACCGCAGATCTCTCCCTGCCCAGTCCAATTTCCTCCTGCACTCAGCCAGTCCCTTCTGAGGTCTTTCAAATTCCAAGCCTGGGCTTCCTTGGAGGTAGTAGAGCAAGAAAAAAGAGGTGTCATCTCCCTCCAGCTCCTTGACGTCAAAGCTGCCCAGATGCTGTGACTGACATGTCCCGGTGGACACCAAGCATCCGGCAAATGCTCACCTCGCAGCTGCCCGCCCCGTCAGACCAGCACCCGGGCGGTTCCAAGCGACTGAAACCCGGCTGCTTAGTAATGAAACTGGCAGCTCGCGGCCGCCGCAGCCAAACCTACAGCCCATCAGACACGGGCACAGATGGAGGCCGGAGCGCGCCATGGGCTGCTGCTGTCTCGGCAAATGAGCAAGGAAAAGGGCTTGTTAAACAGAGAGGGTTTGGGCAGGAGGGAGCTGGAGGCGCGGGAACAGGACTGTCAGCGGATCTTGTAAATACTCGAGGCAGCTCTAGCTTGGACCATCGCGGTACTTATTTCAAAGCAATTTAACCGATGGGATTCCCGACTCCCAAATCAAGAATGTTATTAACATGAAGAACAGAGGCAGCTTGGAGGCTCATTGGCACCCGAGTCACACCCCAGCCCGGCCACGGCCGCCACGTCTTCCCCGGGAGGCCGCTGGGCTCTTGATTCCTAAGCTCCAGGACCCCCGCAGCCCCCTCCACTGCCATCCTTCTGCAGAGAATTTGTTTTCAATCAGAATGGGGGGGAGGCTCTATGATGCTGGTGAATGTGTTGCGACATGGAGCTCAAGAAGCCAAGCCTGAGGGGTGCTTTTGGTTTCTAAAACCTCCGGAGAATGAGGGGTTCAGTTTTTTATGTGAATGAGGTCTCACCCCACTCTCCACTTATTTCGTCAGTGGAGAAACTGAGGCCTGGAGCAGGGGTGGGAGCTGTCCAGAGCCCCACAGCCCAGCAGAGAGTTGGAGTGGACACCACGTCTCCATTCCACCCACAGTGACATCTTCCTGGAACCTGGGGGGTCTCTGCTCTGTCCCAGGTCTCCATGACACCCAGCCTCACACCTGCTAGGCAAGGTGGGGCGCAGGTGGAGGAAGAGGATGGGGCCAGGTGAACGCTGGGGGCCCTAGAATGGTCAGTTTAACTCCTTTCTTCCTCCATCCCCCGCACCCCGCAGGTGTTTCAGCGGCGGGAGGATGGCTCCGTGAACTTCTTCCGAGGCTGGGAGGCTTACCGCGACGGCTTCGGCAAGCTCACTGGCGAGCACTGGCTGGGTGAGGCCTCTGACCACCTGCTCTCTCTGCAGCCCAGCGGGGGGTGTGTGTGGGTCTAGCCATTGGGGAGCACTATTCTGTCCAGCTGAAACCCCCTCCTCAGAGTTGTACCTGTGGGGTTTCCTGGCCCCACCAGACCTAAGTCAGCTCAGGTGATTCTCTTGTAAAGGTGAAAAATACATGCTATGAACGAGGTCAATTCTCATTGATGCAAGAGGTAATGTGACTGGTGTCGAATGTGCTCAGGGGAGACGTTTGCTTATAAACATGAGCGAGGAAGAAAGGGTGTGTGTGGGGTGTGCGTGCATGCGTGTGTGTGCGTGTGTGTGTGTGTGTGTGTGTGTGTACGTGTACATGCCTGTATCTCCTAATGTGCTCAGTGGAGATGGGAGCAGAGGAAAAGAAGCCGAGAGAGGGGCACACACCCTCTAACCTGGGCTGGAGATGTTGGAGTTGAAAGCTAGGTGGCAAGGGCACCCTGGGACATGCCACTACCTTGAATCGAGCAGGCTATGGATGTGTGCAGGCCACTCCCCCAGCACCAAGAGACCTCTGACAATCTCACTACCCTGTCCCCACAGCTTCTGCTGAGGACTTGAACTTGAGAGAGTATACCGTGACCAGTGGTCGCCCCAGGGACCCCCCAGGACGGAGCTCCCAGCAGAGTGGCTGGGTCCTTACTCTCCCCACCTTCCTGCTTGCACGATGTCCTCACAGCTACCCCCCAGTCTGTACCTGGCACCGAGCAAGGACCCCACAGTGAAATTAGTGTTACTGTTATTTATATTTAAATTAGCTCAGTAACTGAAATACCTCATTTCATCTCATCTTAAACAAGTCCCTCCCCCTAGAATTGCAAGTCCGGGGTGCTGGGTGTGTGTTTGGGCTGGGGGGATTGTAGCTAGGAGGAGGTGGGTCTTTCTGGAGCTCGAATTCACACGCCGTATGGTCCGTCGTTTCAGAGTAAACAACTCAGAGGTTTCTTGTACATTCTTGAGGCTGTGCAGCCGCCACCAATTGCAGAATGTTTTCTTCACACCCAGGAGAACCCCCAGGCTCATTAGCAGTGGCTTCCCATTTGTAATAGACGTTAATATAACACGTGGGCCTTGGAATGAGTCGTCTGCCAGAGCATCATCCGAACGGCCTCTGTGCTCCCGGGGCCTCCCGCCTCACTACTGGGTGTGCCCCCATTGTCTGCAGGAAGCTCCCCGAGGAGGAGGCGACAGGCAGGGACCAGTGTGGTACCAGGACACACCAGCTGGAAGGGCTAAGAGAGTGGTCTGGGCACCATGTGGGGCTCTGGCAGGTCCCAGTGTGGGGGATCTAACAGGCACCCCTGGGAGAGAGTGGTGGGTGAGTCCCCACACCTCTCCTTCGAGCACAGAGGCTCCTGGTAGTGATTTCTGCTGTCATTTGTGGCCTGGGTTCTTGAGGGCAGGACCCATCTGCCCTGACCTCCACTGTTTCCCTGGAGGTGACTGTCCATCAGAGGTGCCAGGCACACAAATGTGGCCTCAGTGACTGCTGTCCACACTCGCTATGCCACTGTTCCAGGCTAGCTTTGTGCTCCGTGAACCTCAGACTCTCCCTGGGAAGGGGCAGTGTCAGTTATTCTCCCCTTTCACAGATGAGGAGACTGAGGCTCAGAAAGGAGTGGCCAAACCTGTGTATATTGGTGTCTGTGGGGGGGAATATGGATACACATGTGTGTGCGGGTGCACGTGCATGCACCATTGTGTGTCTCAAGTATGTGTGTAGGCGTGTATGTGTGTGCATGTCTGTATGGACTTACATATATGTAGACATGTGTGTAGGTGTGTGTGCCTAGTGTGGATGCATGTCTGTAGTCGTGGATATGTAGATTTGTCTGTATGTATATGCATGTGTGTGAATATATTATGGTAGATGTGTGCATATATGTATGTAGGTGTGTGCATACAGGTAAATGTATGTATATATAGCTTTTTGTGTGGAAGTACTTAGATGTGTGTGTATATATGCATGTGTGTGTATGTGTGTTTATGTATGTATAGATATATGTGTGTGTTAATGTATGTTGCTATATGATATCAAGTTGGAACCAAACCATAGCTGACCTTCTCAGAGGCAGTATCGCCTGGGAAGAGATAGCCCATCTTTCATCCCATGGAGCAGCGGATGCATTCAAACTGTGTGCTTTTGGGTTGGCTGCACAATTCCTTCCCCACTAGGCCACAGAGTTCCTATACGAATGTAACTTTGTATATATGTAGAAGGGTGTATGTGTGTATGCATGTGTCTTTTGCATGTAGCTGTGTGTATGGTAGCTTTGCATGCTTGTGCATGCATATCTGTGTAGGTGTGTTAGGTGTGTATCCATGTATATGCACATAGCTATGTATATGTGTCATTTGTGTGCATGTCCTTGTATGCATGTGTATAGATGGACAGATGCTTGCATGTGTGTAGGTAGGGACGTGTGTGTGTACATATACGCAGACATTTGTGCATATGTGTGTAGGTGTGTACAGATGTATATGCATCTGTGTGTATGTTTGTTGTTGTTGTTAGGTACTGTTGAGTCGAGCATGACTCATAGCAACCTTATCAAAAACAGCTGGCCTAGCCTGTGCCCACCTGAAAGGCTCTGAAACTCTTGAGTTCATAGTTGCAGTCACCATGCCAATCTATCAGGTCAACAGTCTTCCTCTTTCACGATCCCTCCAGTTTCCCAAGCATGATGCCCCTCTCGGATGAATAACCTCTGCTAGCAATATCCCTGACTATGTGAGATGAAGCTTTATCATCTTTGCCTCCAACGAGCACTCTGGCTGCACTTTGTCCAAGACCTACCTTTTTGTTCTTTTGGTAGTCCATGGCACCTTCAGTGTGTGTGTGTGTGTGTGTGTATGTGAGTGTGTATGTGTGTACAGGTGTGTGTGTGTGTGTGTGTGTGTGTGTGTGTGCTCACAAACGTGCACTCGCGTTGGGGTAGGAAGAGCCCAGGTGAGGGTCACATACAGGAGCCCAGCCAACCTCTTCCTCTGTAAACTGAAATGGGGTCCAGGGAGAGAGACTTCTCCCCAGGGGATCTTCTCCTCCCTGCTGTACCCAGGTGAGTGTGTGGGGACAGGGAGAAGGTGGACGAGTAGGCCCTGTCCCTGCATCGCCACCCACTCCCTTGGAGGAGTATTGGTGTCTCTGCGGATCCTTGGCATCTTAATTGAAATCTATCAGCAGCCACAGAAGGTGCGGGAGGAAGCATTTAAGCGGGGCCTTGATTAGCTCCTGGCAGACGCTGCCAGGAGGGGAGCCCTGACAAGAATGACAACTGGAGGCCCAGCCCGTCAACTTCCCTGCTCCATGGCCCGCCTTCTGCTCTCCACACTTCCCTGCCACCCTCCCTAGTGATCTGTTGTCTTTTCCTATTGTATTATCAGAGCTCTTTATATATTAAGGCTATGGATCCTTTGATATACATGATGTCTATATATTCTCATTCATTCAGCATTTTTTTGGTAAGATTATTCTTCCAGAAATTTTAAATTTCATATGGTCAGTTTGGCCAAGCTTTTTACCTCCTATCTTCTGAGTTTTAACCTTGTTTTCCCTTTACTGGTTTTATAAGACATATCTCCTGTAGTTCCATCTTACCATTTTTTAGTTTTCTGCTTTTAGGTCCAGCTCTTTAATCGTTGGGAAGGTCACTGGGGTGATGATGTGAAGAATAGCACAGTTCATTGTATTTTTCTTTTGGTTTAAATCTGCCCGCTCCCTCCTCATCTTTGTGATTTGAACTCTCAGGGGTCCAGGGGCAGCTATATGGGGGGAGTCACCCTGCAGATCAATAAGAACTGGAGAGATGTCTCATGGGGGAAAGGGTAGAGATGAAAGTGAGCCCAATTTAGAAGGGATGGGAGGCCCTGGCACCCCTATCCTGCTCCCCCTCCCCAAGGACACAGCATGACAGCCCCTCATGGAGACTAGAAGGTGCATCAGGAGTAGATCGCTGTTCAACCCAAAGAGACAGTGCTGCTGCTGGACCTTAGGCTCCGGTCACCAGGTAGTGATGAGAACAGTCTGCCAGCGTCCCCTTTGGGCTAGTCTCCCTCCTGCCTTATTCCTGGACATCATTTGCCCTTGTGTCCAAACAGAATAATGTTAGTGTAAGGACTAGAGTGTGCTTGATTCAGGCCATGGTCTTTTAAACTGCCTGCTGTGTTTCTTAGAGCTGGAGGATGACTAAGCATGACAGAAGAATTGAAGCCTTTGAGCTGTGGTATTGGAGAAGAGCACCGAACAGCCCCTGGACTGCCAGAAGAACAAACAGATGTGTCTTGGAGAGGGTGTAGCCAGAATGCCTCTTGAAGGCAAGGGTGGCGAAACTTTGGAAATGTTGCTAGGAGAGGCTATTCCCTGGAGAAAGACATAATGCTTGGAAAGGTGGAGGGAGGGTGAAGGAGAGGAAGACCCTCAACCAGGTGGACTGACACAGTGACTGCAGCAATGGGCTCAAGTGTGACGGAGGTTGTGAGTTTGCCATAGGACAGGGCAGGGTTCAGATCTGTTGTCCATAGGGTCACTATGAGTCATGCTCAACAACAACAACAGATGCAATAAGAGTGAGCAGTCTGGACTATTCTGGCCTGGGTTCAAAGTCCAGCTCTGCCACTTACGGGCTGTGTGACCAGGGCTGGGTACTAAACCTCCCTGTGCCTCAGTTTCAGCAACAATAAAAAAGAAGTAATAATAGCGCCTGCCTCACCGGATCCTAAAGACAGCAGCAGCAAGCCGCGGGATCACAGTGGTGATGGACCAGGCGCTGTTCTAAGCACAGTACAAGGATTCCTTAATTAAATTTGACTCATTTCAATTCACTTTGATTAATTAATCTGTGCGCAGCATTCAGCACAGTGCGGGGCCATCCTAAGTCCCGCTCAGGTGGTGGCTGTCTTTGTTATTGCCTCTTCGCTTGTTAAATCTGTGAAGGAGCACCCCTCTCCCACTGCCTGTCCCCCCTCTCGACCCCTTCAGCTCTGTGAGGACCACTTTAGAAGTGTGCAGCAAGTGGGTGACCTGAGAGAGCCCAGGAGAGAGACACTCGGCTGAGGCTCCAGCCATAGAGTGACAGGAGAGACGGGGAGACACAGGTTCGCACCCTCCCTGCGTGGCCTGGTGCTGGGTGGGGAGGCTGGCTCGGTGCAGTGCTGGGCACAACCGGTTGGTGGCACTGCTGGCACCGCTGTGTCCTGGGGACCTGGAGGCTTCTCCAAGAGGCTGGAGGGGCCCAGTGCACACTGCTTTCACACGTTGGTTGACCCAGGGGGTAGGGGTGCTTGTATCTCCAGAAATGCTGATGAAATGTCACTGGCTGCTAACTCATAAGGTGTTTAATTAAATGTTCTCTTAATCAAGGGGTAATCAGACGAGCAGGGAAGCACCTTGAGAGAGAGAGAG